AAGAAGAAGAAGAAGAAGAAGAAGAAAAAGAAGAAGAAGAAGAAGAAGACAAGTGCGACTGTCAAGTGTACCTGAGATGAGTTCGGAGAAACAGTTTTCAGGTAAATACTGACCTACTGACGTAGGGTCTCCTATGGCACAATTTTTGTCGCCAACTAAAATCTCACACGTTCCACATCTTCTAAAGGTCAATCCAAGTGATCTCGGAGAATGCACCTCCGAGCACGTTATATGCGGGTGGTACACGCGGTCCTAGCACAACGCGTATCATGATTGGCTGTCGTCGTGGTACACGCGCGCTCAATTACTTGCCCATAGGCCACCTATGGGGATTCCAGCGATTCTGTCGGCCGTGTTGTTTGAGCGCCCCAGCAAAGTTATCTTACAATAACGGTGCAGAGAACTCAGTCAGTTTCAGCAGTTCTTCTAATTGAATGGAAATGAGCTGCGGACCGCTTGACTTCGGGAATACACCATATGAACAGTCAACGGTCGATCTTATGAAATATTCACCGAAATTTAAAAATGTGTTTTGGATTAGGAATAATTCCGTAAGTGGAGTTGATGTATTTTTTTATTTTAGAACACAAGCCTAAGGTATTTCATAGACATTGGGATGCCAGATTTTGAAAGAACGTCTTTTTGGCCTCCTGCAAAAACTTTGCTTGTCAAAAAAATGACTACGTAATTTGAGTAAATTGATTTTCTACAGATCTTCAATTCAGTTAGAAAATCAGTTATATCTAATAGAAAAATAAATAAGCAAGACATTCGTTTATGCACTAATTCGATAGAATCTCACGTATTCGTCACAGTTCATTCTGATAAAACTATATCTTTTGGTTTTAAAGGATATTTTCTAATTCCCAAATAATTTTGAGTCCTATTAGCCGTTGCATTTGGGTTTCTGGCTTTCAGTCTGGAAAATATTTGTGTTCCTTTGAAGGAGTAGCATGCCTTGCTGTATGGCATCAAGAAGATAACGTATAATGTTCATACAAGTTTGCAGTAGATATGAACGGTATCGTAGACTTCGTAAGAGGCATTAATAAACGAACAGATACGATGCAGTTTTAATCGCAATTGTAAGGGCCTAAAACATGTTACCCATCGGGCTGAAGAACTATTTTTTCTTATCGGTATCCTTCTTATAAACTACATTTAAATAGTAGAATTATAACTATTTCTCCGTGCTAAGCGTGGGTGGCTTAGCCGAAAATGCAAATCGCACTTTTTTCTCACGGGATAACATGGGCTGGAGGCACTTTCTTGTGTTCTGCCAGCGTACGAACACGGATTGATGTACGCCAGTAAATCACCAAGCCAACGAGAAACGCATCATGCATGTTGTTTGCACAATTCAATGCCATCAGAAATTATAAAAGTATTTTCTATGGCTGTTGGAAACTTGAAGATAGTTTTATTCATAAAATAAAACTACTTAAAATTCAGGAGCGCCAGTTGATTACCTGATGGACGCTCTGAGTAAAATTTGTGTACATGCTGCCAGTGGATGGAAGAGCGAGCCTGCCTTCTTGCTAAGCTGATCTTTTGAAGTCATTCATGGAACAGGTGATACAAATCCTTAGATTCAGGTCTGCGCATTTTCACTGCGCTGACTGCAAGCACACGCGATAATTGTTCTATTCGCATAAGACAGTGAGTCGTCTGGTCTTCAACAGCGCCTACAGCCACTAGCAACGATCGAGATAAAGGGAAAAATGGATGAGCTGAGATGTTAAATAACTTCGGCTTTGTTCTAAAAGGTTTCAGGAAGTTTTTAACATTCAAAGATGAAGATTGATCTCTAAATAACTTCTGACGGGAGCGTCCAAGCACAACTGTAGATATGAATCCATCCAAATCCCGGGCATGAGGCACGATGGGCAGTTCTTTAATTTTCATCCATTTTGGATCGAGAAAAGGGCGGGAATCATTAGACAAAAAGTAATGCTTTTACATTCACTTTAGTTTTCTTAGCTAACTAGGTTTACCGAAATAAATCAGCTGCAAAACTCTCCTTTAAACTCCCCTTTAAACAAGTTTCGGAATTTGTTTTGATGCAACAGCTTAAATTAATACCATGAATGGAAAAAAATCTTGATTTTAAAGGGGAGGCCGGCAGATAGTTAGCCGATTCTCCATTATTGAAACGAGTAAAAGGTTTAATCGAAAAGCTGCAACCTCAGTAAAGTATAAATTACTTAGAAGAATCACAAACTGGACTTGTGGAGTCTTGGGTAGAACGCGAAGGCGAAGGCGCATGATTGGACTGGCTTGACAATTGAGACGAACCTAATGGAAGTTGTCGCGGTCGCGGTTGAGAGTGCAATTCTAAAAAGAAATATCAGCCGTCAGAAGATGTTTTTCGTAAATCATAATTTTTAATTGTCTTTTGTTGAACCTAGAATGCGTTAAATAAGAGCCTGGTGTTCTTCCCTTAAAAAAGGGCGGCCTCCAGAGGTAAACTTTGGTGCGTAAATGTGCTGAGTAGAATGGCCAAGCTCGGAGCAGAAACGTCTACGATCCAGATCTCACACTTTCTGTAGGTTTCAATCATATTTTACTATAAATCCGCGATATTCTCTTATACGCGTCTATACGAAATGATTTTAACAGCTAACTTCAGGGTCATACTCGTTTACCTCACCAACTAACAATATTTGATGATTTGTTCGCGAGATGTCACGTTTTTTTCGGAAAGAGAAGAGGCCTAGTGATTTTGCAACACATTCGGCTCGCGCACAATTTTCTACATCGGTGGTGTTAGTGATGCTTTCATGCCGTGCCTAGCCCTCCACACACGCACACTCATGCTCAACGCACACATGCTGATTCAGACAGCCAGTCAGCTGTGAAGGTTCCCGTAGTTCTCACGGAGGTCATAACCACCAGTGAAGGTCATTGCGGCTGCCTTCGTAAAACCACCGGAGAAGCTCTCGTCTACAAAAACATGTGAAATTCGATGCATGTGCAGTGAGAATAACAATAGTCACGCCGTGCTCAAGAGAGTGACTAACGTTCTCTGTGAAAGTGTCTATTGATCAGGCTGACTCGCCAAGGATTTGGCTCGATGAAAAGCACGGGGATAGGCTAAAGCTAGACCCGCAATGCGGGCATTGCGAGCAAACCAGTAAGAAGTGGAATGCAGGTATGTAGCTACTGTAGTTTGTGGTTTATTCATACCCTCTGTCAGTCAGCCTGACTGCAATCAAAAATACGCGCGCAGAACAACCGACTCTGAGTTAATTTTTCCCACGGAACCTGACATATACAGACAAGCGGGGTGTTGACTGAAGTCTGATGAGCATTCGATCAACCAACCTGGTTATTTTACGTTCACACACGAAGTCCTGTGAAGTCAGCATCATGCCTGAAAGGCTGATGTGATCTCCGGCGATGGGTTCTTCTACGAGTTCTAGAGCCCAACAAAAATGCGTCAGTGCTACACCAGTCTTTTTTACTACTTGCTCCATATGCTGCCGTGGGCCCCTATGTTTACCTCCCTCCGTACGGATATATATTGGCCTTTCCCTGGTTGTCTGATGGGGGGCCGTGGATAGAACTTCAGTTAACCGTCGAAGCGGTTAACACTTACTTATGATCACAGCCTGCTTATTGCTCGTACGCAAATTTGTGCTAATCTCATAAAAATCTTCTGCGCCCGACTCCACTTCTGGGTTTTTTGACTCTGTCATAACGCTGAGCGCGGGTGTATGAAGAGAGAAAGTGAGAGAGTGTGGCAGATGAAAATATACTATCACTTAAAACTTACTCACGCGCAACTGACCGTGTTTGCTGAAGCACGTGATGGACGTCGTAGGATTCGACGGCCGAAGTGTCGCGTATACTCTTGGAACACGATGGTATCACCACCTACTAATCGACTCCCATGTAATCTTGGGACAGTGGAGGCCCCTATCAAGATCGTTTATGAAATGTCACTTTATAAAGATAGCGTTGCCAGCAAAGACAAGGGGACTGGAATGGCCATTGCTTGCTCATTAGCCGTCGTCAGCCAGCCATACCCGGACTCAAGTGGTGTCCCACCCGAGCGTCGAATTCTCGATCTTTTTGTTCAGAGTCAAACGCCCTAACCATTGAGCGACGAGTTCGTTGTCTTGCCGGTTTAGGTCA